TACCAGGCTCGGCCTTGTCTCAGGCCACCTGGAATTCAGGCCCTGTGATATGTGCATGTGTGATCCTACAGTGTATATTTTCCTATGTTTTTTGTTCCTGTTATGTCTCCAGTTAAATGATTATTATATACACTGATTGAGTGTCATTCTGTTCGTTATGTTCAGTTGCAACAGTAAAGTGAATTTAACTTAATCCACCAGCCTGTGGTTTCATTATGTTACTCAGTTATGTTTTGGGTGACGCTGAAGCAGGACATTAATAGGACAGAACAGAAAGCCTTTATTGTCATTGTACAGAGAGGAAATACAATTAATAATCATAAATATATAAAATGTACATATACAGGGCAGGGGGAAAGCCCCCCCAATCATCAGGATTATATTTAGTTATTTTAGTCAAAGAAAAAAACTACAAAATTATATTTGTCTTGTTTATTCAGCTTGCTGAACACAGGCATTTATTTTTGTCAAACACACATTTGCGAGTAAAAAGGATTATAAAGGTTAAAACGCGGCGATTTTACCTTTTTGCCAGGAGAATCAGCAACACGTCACAGTGACACTGAGTTTATAACATAAAACCCTGGATAGAGGGGCTCAGTGAATAAGGAGGTGAATCTGTACAGGAGGGTCAGTCCATCAGAGGAGACTCTGTAGAAGGACAGAGCACCAGCCCCCCAGTTCAGATATACTCCTACTCTGCGGGAGCCTGAGGGCTTTATGGGTATGACAGTGTATTTATTATTGTGCAGGACAGAGTATCTGTCAGGATCACAGTACAGACTCCATGACTTGTCATTGTATCCAAGCCGACAATCATCACTCCCTCCTTCCCTCCTGATCCCTTTATAAGTCACTCCTATATCGGCTCCACGTCCATCCCACTCAGCCTCCCAGTAACAGCGGCCAGTCAGACTCTCTCTGCACAGAACTTGGGGCCAGCGGTAAAATCTCTCTGGATGATCAGGATATGGCTGCAGCTCTACCCTGTATGTCACCTTCCTGTCCCCCCCCGACAGAGACAGGAGTCTGTTTGCTGTGTTGGGGTCCAGCGTCAGCTGGCAGGAGTCTGTAGGCAGGAGGAAGAATTATTAATAACATCAGCAGCCTGTACTTTATGTTTCTGTACAGTACAAATTCACATTTGGCACTAGAGGACAGTGTCCAGTGTCACTGCCTATGGGTGCTTTCTTAGGACAATACTAAAGAATCTCACACAGAAAACACATACACTCACGGCATGCGCAAAAAACACAAATGCAAAGGATTCTTTTTGTGAAGGTAAAGATGTACAACTACATCAGAATATATTTTGACCATCTTACACTCCCACACAAACACAAGACAATATGAGCAGCTATAAAGTATTTGAAAAAAATATTTTTAAAAACGACTAAATTAATTGATAGTGTTTTTGGTGATGATTTTGATGTTTTATTTTTCTCATTTGGATGTTGTCTAAAATGACACAAACAGAAACTGAACTAAACACAAACATGGAAATTCATCTACACACAATGCAAAAAGCCACACTCATCACAACAGTTGTGTGAATATAACCATAACATACTATTAATGGTATTATTAATAAAAACATGCAAACACACTTACATCTCTGTACGCCTGCTCTGGTCCTGCACTCCCCACTGTGGTCCAAACTATAGGAGAAGCAGAATGGCATAGTGCTGCTGTATCCATTTATTTATTGGTGCCTCTTCTTCACATACATGCATAAGTATCTGTAACGTGTCAGACTCACACTCTGTACTCACTTCAGCTTCTCCAGTTTACAGCTGGGATCCTCCAGTACAGCAGAGAGCAGCTTCACTCCTGAGTCTCCTGGGTGATTGTAGCTCAGGTCCAGCTCTCTCAGGTGTGAGGGGTTTGACCTCAGAGCTGAAGCCAGGGAAGAACAGCCTTCTTCTGTGACTCTACAGGCTGACAGCCTATAGAAGGGAAATCACAAAATTTTGGACAAAATGCAGGTGGCAGCGATTCTTCGGAATGCCAGTGCTGATGTGCCCAAAGCGACCAGCGACTAGCCTGGACCCACCAGACAAACAGCCCATCAGCACCTCCCCCTTTTCCTCCTTCCCTGTCCTTCCTGTTCCTGATAAAAAGCTGCCATTCGGGGGTAATATTCTACACCTGAGTTTGCCTGTGTGCCCCTGTTCCTGCGGCCGCTACACACAGTTCACTGAAGCTCATCTTTTAGTCGCAATGACTGTGTAGTAACAGACATAAATGATCAGCTCAGTTCAAAATTAAACCATCCAGTGACAGCGACCAACTGCATGAACTTTATAACAACAGGATTACATGGACTCCTGCTAGAAGAAAAGCACTGATGTCAGAGAGGATGAGGCCCTGGGGTGACGCCAAGAGCAAACGGCGTGACGTCACAGGTGCAGGAAAGTAGGCTAAACCCCAAAGGGTGATGATCAGCACCACAGCACTGGACAGAAACCGCTAGATCCCCACAGTTGGCCACAGTAACACCCATGAGGAAGTGAGGAATGTCAACAGGAGGCGACCAGCAGCTGATAAGAGCTCTAGAGAGGTGGCAGTATCACCTCCCCCAATACGACTCAAAGCGTGCATCGTGGACAACCCCACAATGAAAATTACTTCACTGTGATGGTGCATCTGCGTCTGCGTGAAGTACGAACCAGCCCTGGACAGCAGGGGGGGGAGTTCGACTGGTGAGCAGGCCGCTTGTCGTCTCTCTCTCTCTCTGAAGACAGACGGCCTGGAGGATGACCACACGGAAAAGACTGCCGCCTCCCGCCTGCTCAGCCCGTCACCAAGGAGCCGGGTCCAGCCGTGTGCCCTTTCTAAATGTACCCCCTTTTCCCCTAAAACCAAACACTGCTCATTTGGGGTCTCCACTGCAACCCTGTGTCTCCTGCCTCCTTACCCAACACAGGAAACTAACCTGGGAAAGATTAACCTTCACATCCAGATCAGAACAGAGCTGGGAAACATCCCCATCTGACTCCCGAGGGGAATCGCTGACGATCCCCCCAAGCAGAGGGCTGTACAGAGCCTCCCATGGTCTGGCTGTGAAAACACTGGCAGCAGGTGAATTTGTGTACAGTGGATGTCAAAAGCTGACACACCCCTATTGTATCTGTGCGCTGACCTAAAGCTTTTCAAAGTATTTTCTTGAACTAGTTCCCCTTCTTTGCCATGCAAATAGCTGCCATTTTTTATTTTCATCTCAGCCTTTACATAAAAAGTTGACATTTCAATAAGTACAGATGTTTGATTTTAATTAGCAATGCAAAAATGATATGTGACTCCTCCCATAACACATTCAGACCAATGATACTGCTTCCTCGCTGATGCATGACTTGTTTAATGTTTAAATTGTAGAAATTATGTAGTTAAAATTTAACTGAAAAAAATTAAGGAGGCAACAGTACTTTCAGGAATTCTGTTTGAGAGATCTTAGCGCATGAATAGTTTAAACACTGTGGTCCACACAGATCTGTACAGTACAGTGAGAGCTGATTACAGGAGTGATTCTTCTCTCATAGCTGACAGGCGGCTGATGTGACACAGGAAGGTGTCCATGCAGCAGCTACCCAAAATAAAAGAGTATTTTACTTGCTGTAATTCCACCTGAGCAAATGTGATTTAGGTTCCTCTGCTATGAAACTGTGAAAAGTCCAGCCCATGCATTTACTCTAGTATAGAGTATAACAAGTTAAATCAGTATGACAATACTAAAACAAAACATGTGCATCATGTCCTCTTTTCTAAAAATATAAAGAACTGAAAAGTAAAAAGTATAAATTGATACCTGCTTAGTGGGAATGAAATGGTGTGAATGAAGTGGTTCGCTTGTCTGACTTGCCTTGCAGCCACAGAAACACTTTATAATATTAAAGTACGAGTTTAGTGTTTGTACCGTCAAACTGGACTGACCTCAGTATCTCCAGTTTACAGTGTGAATCCCCCAGTCCAGCAGAGAGCAGCTTCACTCCTGAATCCTGCAGGTCATTGTCACTCAGGTCCAGCTCTCTCAGGGGTGAGGAGTTTGATCTGAGAGTTAAAGCCAACGTGTCACAGCATGTCTGTGTGAGATTACAGCTGTTCAGCCTGGAAAAAGAAAATATGTTAAGACACAAACACATATATAACCTACACATTGTTAATAGTACTGACAGCAACATTAAAACAAGCGAGCAGCACAGGCCACTGGTGGACTCAGAGGGGGAATGGGGGGGCAGTCACCGCCCTAGTGACCGCATGGCTGAATAAAACATCATCAGATTACTAATTAGAGCACTGATTGGCTAAAGAGTCCTCACAGCCCTTCTAGTGGAGGATATGTGATGCAGTGCCCTAACAGGTACCCATACAATGATAAAAGCGGCTCCTATGGGTATCCTTCTAAAGGAAAAGGGTACCATAATGAAGTGCCTTTCTAGTGGAGGATATGTGATGCAGTGCCCTAAAAGGTGCCCATACAATGGTATAAGTGGTCCCTATGTGTATCCTTCCAAAACACTGGGGACGTACGACACATGTGGCAGGGCATCTGGGCAATCACCCACTACAGGACATCTCCACCTGCCTGTTACAGTGAGACCTCTCTTCCAGATGTGCTGAATCACATCTATGCACAGTTTGAAACACAGAATGACATGGCAGCAAGGAAGATCTCCCCTCCCCCCAACGACCAGGTGCTCTGCATGACCATGACTGATGTGAGGTGAACTTTGTTCAGAATCATCTCACAGAAGTCCACCAGAGCAGACAACATTCCTGGTGTTCTGCTCAGGGGATGTGCAGACCAGCTGTCCTTACAGACATCTTCAGTATTGCTCTGAGCACCACAATCATTCCAACATGCTTCAAAGCCACCACCACCATCTCCGTGCCAAAGAAGACTTGTGTCCTGCCTCAATAACTACCATTCACACCCATCATCATGAAGTGCTTCAAGAGGCTCGTCATCAGCTACATAAAATCTCAGAATCTTTGCTCTGTGACTCTACAGCCTGACAGCCTATAGAAAGGAAATCACAAAATTTTGAACAAAATACAGGTGGCAACGATTCTTCGGAATGCCAGTGCTGATATGCACAAAGCGACCAGCGACTGGCCTGGACCCACCAGACAAACAGCCCTTCAGCACCTCCCCCTTTTCCTCCATCCCTGTTCTTCCTGTTCCTGATAAAAAGCTGCCATTTGGGGTAATATTCTACACCTGAGTTTGCCTGTGTGTCTCTGTTCCTGCGACTGCTACACACAGTTCACTAAAGCTCATCTTTTAGCCGCACTGACTGTGTAGTAACAGACAGAAATGATCAGCTCAGTTCAAAATTAAACCATCCAGTGACAGCGACCAACTGCATGAACTTTATAACAACAGGATTACATGGACTCCTGCCAGAAGAAGACCACTGATAGCAGAGAGGATGAGGCCCTGGGGTGATGCCAAGAGCAAACGGCGTGACGTCACAGGTGCAGGAAAGTCGGCTAAACCCCAAAGGGCGACGATCAGCACCACAGCACCGGACAGAAACCGCTAGATTAGATTAGATTAGACTTTATTAATCCCACAATGGGGAAATTCTTTGAGAAA